GGTTGTTATAGCAATAGGAGGAGTGGGAGGTTGCTGCTCCCGCCTGTCTATCTGACAGCGTGCACAATGAACGATATAAGTGTTCGCATTGCACCAAATCACCGGCCCGGCTCGAACTCCGCGTGGACTGACCAGTGTCAGGGTCTGTTTCTGCTGAAATACATTTCCACATTTCAGCCAAGTCTCGTTTATGTGTCTGGCTGCTGCACAAACAGATGCTTTTATTTAAACGTGTTGAAATTTAAAGGCAGGGGCGTTGCTAGGAGTTGCCTAATGGTGGCCCATGCACAGTGGGTGACCCTTGGCCCCCCTTCCAATTCCCTCAATATTTTGTCTGTTTGTATCCTTGTAGATGCTTCAAAATCAGTATAGTGTACACTGGGTCCCAGGCATAGACTGGACTTAGCCACCATGACGTCACCCATTGGTTTGTGGACTAGGCCTATCTTTTGAAGCCTGAAGTTTTGACTATCGCCATCTTGGTTTTTTGGAACCAGACGTGGATGTGACAATGGCTGTTCGAAGTGGGTAAAAATGCTATTTCAGGAGGTGTCTTAACAGGACAGTGAGGCATCGAGTGCTGTTCGAAATGGATCGAACGATCTTTTACTGTCTCGTAAGATGCCTTCAAACTGCCCCCATCGATGCTGACTTGATGCTGCCTATTACCCATAAATCTGTGTGCGGTAGCAGTAGCCTAGCTCACGAAAAATGGACAAGATGGCGGACAAACAAGCCGAAATTCGTTTCCAGATATAAGTTTTTTTCTCTTCGATTTTTGAAAAGTTATTGAGAACTAAACACTGAACTATCACATTAGCCAGTGACTACAACCAACCAAGTTTGTTTAGTTAGATTTTTGAGGTGTCTTTATCCATTTGCCTGATTAATAGCTAGCTAGTTGAAGCTAAGGCTGGTGACTGACAGCCAGAGGAGACACAAGACATCCTAAAGACAAGACATCCTAAAAGGCTTTTTGAAACCAGTGTTCATAGAGATGTCTTTCCTCGAAAGTGATGCCTTCTTAGGCACCTATCTATTATGGCAGCGAGGCAACTGCCTTCTGTAACAAACTGAGTCTTTTTGGACGAGAGGGGGAAGCTAGCTTGGTTGGTAAGGTGCATCCGTAACTTATGTTAACTGTGATATCAACAGGCATGGTAATTTTGGCTAGCCAAAAACAGGCTTACAACAAAATGTAGGCTACTTACCAGATTGAATAGCTATTCCTTAGTGTCTTTTAGTACAACCGAATGCTGCACAAAACATTTTTAGGGGATCAAAATGTTAGTTAATTTTCATGAACTGAAAACACTGTGAAAGGGTCAACATTCTTATACGAAACACCGGCAGCACGCAAAAACAAGTTCACGGATAGTAGCAGCAGCAGGTCAGCCACCTTAAGCCTAGTTCACACTACATGATTTTTAGCCTGATTTGCCGCTCGGCGAGTTCAGCAACCGTCAGGCTGTGATCGGGGGTAAATCAGTGGTTGATCGTCGTTATGTATGTACTACTCAATAACGCATCTAAACGGCTCCCCGACACATTTCTGACACATCACCGACGTCTGCCAGATATCCCGCATGCCAAATATCTGGCGGAGTCGGCCGACTTGACATCCACATCCAGCCAATGACAGCAGGCAGCTGGCGCAAAACACTTTTTACTCCCCTCAGCTCTCTGTAGCACTGACAGTGTGCTAATCCATTCTTTCAGATTTTTTGTCTTTATAATTGGTATCTTTATAATAACAAACAACAGCTGTTTCGTGTGTAGGTTGTTTCCCGTTTCACATTTCACGTGTGTTTTCTTGACAAAACGTGGTTTGGAGACCAGCGTCGGGTGACAGAGTCGCTGTCAGCTCGTGTAGTGTGACCCCCTGTCACCGATCAGTCACATGGTGTGAACGCCACAACGACTTCCAGACTCCTGTCACAAGACGGCAAGTTGTGTAGTGTGAACGGCTCAGCCATCGGCCGATGCTGAAAATCGTGTAGTCTGCACAAGCCTTTAGCTTTACCTTCGGGCGTAGAAAGAGGGGTGAGCAGTGAGTGAGCCTTTGGTTGCAATTTGCAACCCTCACCACTAGATGTCACTAAAACTTACACTCTGAACCTTTAAGGATGATTGTTCTATAACAGAATAACTAAGTAAATTAGGGATTTTACAGTTTACTCAAATTACAAAGCACTCGAAAATGGTACTTAAGAGTACTAAATGTAATCATGTTGCATAGATTAATGTAAGCATCAGTTAAGAAAAGTTCAACTAGCCTATTGCATATGTGCACACAATGCCGTAAAAAGCTGTTTGTGTCTCCAGAGGGAGCTGTGTGAAGTTTTATAAATTGCCTCATGTCACCAGAGTCAGCGTCGGCTGTGGCTGACAACTACAAGTATGAAAACTGGGGTGTGCAGTTAAAGTGTTTACCACACATCTGTAGTCCACTCCTCGTTGTTGCGTGTCTAGCGGCTCAAGGTTACATTAGTTGCTTCTTGCATAACACACTAAATCTGACTGACCAGTTAGCGACCAAGGGCCATTGTGAGTAATGTAGGCAGCAGGTTTTGACAAGGAACAAATGTTTGGAATAAAGAGATATCTCTGGTTCTGCAGCATTGATTGATCCTTTTTTAACTGTCCATCATGAGACCGACAATGTTATAGGATGTGAAAGCCAAATCGGTGGAATTCTCTTTAAACGGATACTTGCATGAATTTAAAATTCAAAATGATGTAGCCCTACACATGCATTCAGGCTGCAAAAAGAGGGTCTCCCTGAGTCTCCCTGATACTAACCGAAAGCGTTTTTTACAGGCCAGAATGAGCGGAACGTGCATCAACATTGTGTTGTTGTTTCTTAACAGTCAGTTTGAAGCTTGATGTTTCAAGCAGTTTTCTCCTGCCAGTAGATTTTTGTGAGTCCTGTCAGAGTTGTAGATTAGCTTTTGACAGCTCGTGGAGAGTTACAGGCGTTAATTTACATCTAAAAACTACACTTTATCATAAAGCAAACAACTATCAATTTAAAAAAAACAAAATCCTGGTGTGTCAGCTCTTATACAAGCACGAGATCAGGAGAAAAGAAACTAATTATGCACAAACGCAAAAAAATACATTTATTTGAAAATATTTCCATTTGAATATTCTGATTTGGTTTATTTACATTAGGCCTTTAATGCCTTCATTTTTTCAATTCAACTCTTTAAGCATGATTAAATAATTATAGCTATCAAGTACTTCTCTCAAATTTGTACCATGAAATGTTTAAATACATCTAACTCAAGATTGGACAAACATTTAACAGTCAAATGGTAACAACTTTTTTTGTTCATTTAGAAATCCACTTAAAGTGCCTCAATTTAATGCTCAAAGATTTCTAACATTTGTACTGATATTTCATGTTTAGAACAGTACAAAAATTTAAAACTCATGCAGACTGAATGCATGACAATACTTAACAATTTTGAACCCTGAAACGTGGAGGTCTTTCAGGTTTGACACAGGTTACTACGAGCTGCGAATACGATGGTCAGCTAAAAGTGCTTCTTCTACTACAATCACACTGTAAACATCGTTTCTAAGGCCTCCATTTGGATATGAACCACATTAGCAGTTGTATTCTTACTTACCATAGTGTTTTAAAACCGAACACATGAAAAATATGGACGTAGCAAATGACAGAAGGGGGAAAAACAGCCGGCAAAACCATAAACGTATTAAAACCTGACAATAAGGGTACAAGCACAATTATCATCACTATTCTCTTTAACACTTGCTTTATATTATTGACCAATTTATTTTTAAACCGCACAATCCACATCGTCTAAAAGGTCCCGTGTATCTGCCACGCAGCAGCCGAGCACATTTACCTACAATAGTGGGAAGACTACTGCAGATACAGTTTGTAATGTAGTACTGGTGTTTGTATACTGGCTATTTTAGTTTCCAGTTGTGGTGAGTCTTAAGAAAAGGTAGCAGTGAGGATGGCCTCTTGTTGCTGCTGATGGAGGGTCCGATACCGACGGCAGGAGCGGGCAGAGCAGGTCGGCTCACTAATCGGAGCTGGGAAAGAGAGAGAAGACAGTCTAGTACGTGCGATATCAACAATTCATTTGAAAGCTTTACATTATCTGAAACACTGCTCACCTTGCAGTTCAGCTGCTTCTCAAACCTGGGAGCTACAAAAGACCAGGGACCCATGTTTTGAGGCTCCTCTTGACTCCACACAAACTCTGTAGGAGAATTTAAAAAATGTATTACATCAAAAGTAAAAGAGGCCATGATACACTGTTCTTTTTCAAAGCGAGTTCGCAGCAAATGTCATAGACCACTTTGGTTGATGTTCTTTTCCTGCCCGTTGACCACAGAGCAGAGAAATTCCAGATCAAACAGGAACTGGATTTACTTTAGTCTGTTTGGGGAGGTGAGAACAATGAAATAGTCGAAGTGAAACGTTAACTTTCAGGTTTTGTCCCGGAAGTAAGAAAACCT